TACTAAATGTGAATATTGACTTGATTTTGTCCTAAGTAATTTTGATGAATTGCTTTAATAGTTAAAAAAGTACATTTTATTTTTTTGAATTAAAATTTTATAGTCAATATTTATGAAAATTTATTAAAGTTTTCTAAATGTATCTTATATTGTGAAATTATAAACATACATTTTTGAAGTTTTTTCAAAACTTGTTGATGTAACAATCACATGTTGTTTTTGTATTTTAATTTTCCGTATCAAACAAACACTCGAAATATATTTTTTAATAATTTTTTTATATAATTATCAAACGATAAAAAATATTTTTTAAAAAATAGCTTCCTCAAGAATTGATTTTTTTATGATAGTTATTTTTTCGCCAAACAAACGAAGCCTTAACTAGAGCATCCAATATTATGTTAGGTGTCTTTTACTTCGTTAGCACCAATAAAAACCTTGGTAAAGGATTATGGTTATGCCTTCGAGTCTTCTCAAGATCATCCTACTCAAAACGGATTGAAGTTATGCCTCTGGATGTTTACTTCAATTTTATGCCAGGCTTACCAAAGTCAAAGGAAGAGACATCTCGCACTCCTATCATTTCATTTGGCGATGGAATCCAGATTAAGTTTACAGCCAAAAATTGAAGAATATATTTTGCCCCTTACCTCTGGAAGTTCATGTTCTTAATTACTCTTTCTTAAGCACGTATTATTAGCAATTAAAAAATAATGATGATCCTCTCTGGGCAATGAAAGGGTCTCAATCCTCAAACTGTGAAGAGTACGTAGTTTTTTTAAATCCTTTTTATGTACAATATTATATAATATGAACTTTATTGTATAAGCAAAGTGTTCAAGAAATGCAATAAAATATCTTTTCCCCCTTGACTCGGCTTTTTATATATTTGCAAGTTATGTTAACTTGAGCATCCAATATTAGATTGGGTGTCTTTTACTTCATTAGCACCAATAAAAACCTTGGTAAAGGATTATGGTTATGCCTTCGAGTCTTTTCAAGATCTTCCTACCCGAAAGGGATTGAAGTTATTATGCCTCTCGATGTTTATCATCGGCATTGTTTGCTAATTTATGCGCTAAGGTTTTATTGGACTTACAATGTCAATGACATTTTACGTCAAGTTTCCAAAAAGAGATGCTTTAAAGATTTTTCCTAGATGTAATAATGAATGGATTGATTGAAACTTTGCCAATGAGAACTATTCTACTTATTGACAGCATTCTAGCCCAAGGTCATGCCTTCTGTTTTCAATCAATTTGCGGGCCACCTTACGTCATTGGGAGCTGGAAACGGGTTTGATTTATGAGTCCAGATAGTAGGAATTCTACACAAAAAAGCTTTAAGTGGCAGTATACAGTATCACAGGATGGGGACTATGTGAACGTGGCAATACCGAATAAACAGAAACGCCATTCCTTTTGCGGGACGACACCAGGTTTGTCGATAGATAATGGCAGACAGTCACAGCTACTCAATTAAACAGTCCTCCAATTGGGACCAAAGAAGGGAAAAAAAAGTTCCTACAATTAAAAGATAAATTCATCATTTTAAAAGGGGAAGTGGTCCGCAAAGCACCCGTGACTCTAAAGTTCACATATTTATAAAGTGATGTAGCTTGTGTTTCTCATGGGTGCCCTCCTCCCCTGTTGGTAGAGGCGACAATGAGTTTGTACGGAATGGATTTTTTTATGCATTCGCATCCGATTTGATAGATGTTGTCCATAATCATTATGAAACATTATTATCTGTGTTAGATTTGCGACTTGGATCTTGGATGAGAGGTATCTTACATCCTTCGGATATTAAGTGCCACTAACATGTTAGTTTTACATATTTTTTCAATTAATAATCAATCAGTTTTCTTATTATCACATAATTCACAATTATGAGTTAAGTTTTAATTATAAAATAAAGTTAGAAGTTTAGATTGATTCTTATAGGATTTGCAAGATGATATTATAATACTAATAATTTGATAACTAAGTTTGATACTTCATGCTATAGAGAGAGTGAGGGCAAATACGCTTCGTGTTTTTGTATTATATCAAAAATATCATTGTAATTCATCTACTTAGATATAATTCATAATAAATTTTATATTATCAAACGTCAATGCAAAACAACCTTTTCGTTAATTTTTTTCGTCAAACTAATTTCTGTTAATTGACTAACATTTGATCAATCAAGTGATGACAAATATCAACTTAAAGGTCAAAAAGAAAATTTCCCTTAAATTTAGTTTTTTTTTAATTTTTTAAAAGTTAAAATAATTAAAAATTATTGAAATTGCAAAAAAATATAATTTTTTTAATATTCAAAAAAATCTCTTTTTAATGATTTTATAATAATAATTATTAAATAATTTTTAAAAAAAACATGTAAAGAATTGTTTTTCAATTTTTAATTATTTTATAATAATAATTAATATTTTTTCCAATTTTTAATATTTAAAATAATTATTAATAAAGAGAATTTTAAGAAAAAATCTCAAGAAATTTTTAATGATTATTAATTATTTTAATAAAAAATTTTGATTATTAATTTTTTTTTTTGAAAAAACTTTTCTTTAGATTTTCAAACTGGATTTATATTGATTATTAATTATTTTAATAAAAAAATTTGATTATTAAGTTTTTTAATTTTATTTATTTATTACTAATTATTATAAAATCTTTAAAATTTTCTTTAGATTTTTTTTAAAAATATTTAATAATAATTATTAGAAATTTATTAGAAATTAAAAAAATTGATTATTTAAAAAATTATTTTTTAATGATTTTATAATAATTATTAATTATTTTAATTTTAAAAACAAAATTGAGAAAAACTAACTATAAAAGAGAAATATATTTTTACTTTTAAGTTGACACATGTCTTCATTTGATTAATCATATGTTAGTCAACGAACATAAATTAGTTAATTTAACAAAAAAAAGTTAACAGAATAATTGTTTTACACTAACGTTTAATAATATAAGATTTGTTGTAAACTATATTTGAGTAGAAGGGTTGTAATAATATTTTTAATATGGTACAATAGCACAAGATGTATTTAACTGAGAGAGGATGAATCCCAAAACAGTGACGAGGCAGGTTGTGATGCTTATGCAAGCCCCAGTTTACTTGTGGATGAACATGCATTACAACCTCAATAACAAGAACGCTAGAACATGTATTACAACCTTAATATTTTAAGTTTAAATTATATATTATAAATTTTTATTTAGGAATCCCTGAATAAAGAAAAATAAATCATTTTTTTAAGTAGAAATTATATGAAAAACAAAAAAATAGTAATAATTAAATAAAAATTATAAACTTTTCAAATGATTTTGCTCTATCTACCTATTACGTTGTGTTGATAATTTTAAAAATTAATCTTCTCATCAACATTAAATAAGAATTTTTTTCCATTTGTTAGTTTTTACAAAAATCTATTTATTAATAATAATTTTATTTTTTAATACAATATTATGAAAAATATATTCTTAACGTTTTTTAATTCTTGATCAATATTTTAGTTAAAATCAATCTATAAAAAATAATGATTTATGTTTTTTTAAGCAAAAAATTTATGGAAAAACATTAGAAAAAATCAATTAAATACGAAATTATAATTAAAAAATTTTAAGAATATATTTTTCATAATATTAAGGTTGTAATTTAAACCTAAAATTTTAACACTCAATTAAATAAATAAAAAACATAAATTGATGAAAAAAAGCAAGAAAAACCAAAGAAAAAAAAGAAAAGACATAATGTATCAGCTAGGAATTAAAATTTTAAAAATTTTTGTTTTAAAATTTTAGAGATCAAAATGAAATAATTTGAAAATTAAAAAAACCTAAGGAAAAAAACTAAGAGTGAACATTACAAAAATAAAAATAAAAATAAAACGAAATAATGTAAAAAAAAAAAAAACTAAGATAGAGTAGTATAGTGTAAAGGTAAAGTAAAGTAAAGTAAAGTAAAAAAAAAATTAATTAATACTGTTCACGTGGGGAGTTCACTGTTCATTTGGACAATAAACTCTCCTCACGTTTTAGTTATACACTAATAATAATAATAATAGTAACAATAATAATGTAATGTAATGTAATTTCAGCAAAGAAGTCCTGTTACAAAGTATCCTTGTGAAAATTTGGATTATAACTGGTAAGCTGGGAAGATATAAAAAGAAAAAAAGAAAAAAAAGACGAGTTAACTCAGTTTCCTTTGTGGTGAATTTAGACAGGAGCAGAGTTAAATGAATATGGCGATTTGAAAAATGGCTTCTTATGTTGTTCTTTCATGACGCACCGTACGGTCGACTATGAAGCAGGCTATTAAGCAACAATTCCACTTATTACTGGGACTCGGAAAATAACACAAAATGCAATTCCAAAGTGATATCTACCAGCTTGCTCCTTTCCAGTATGAAGCACTCTAGCTTTGCTTCTATCACAAACTAATAATTACTCTCATCGGAAAAACATAAAACCAAAACTGAGTTGTCCCAGCATAGCAAAAAACACCCACCATGCTGACAAAAAAAAAAATGCTAAATATTATAAAATAAAACAAAATAAAGTAAAATTGTAGGTCATTCAAGAATCGAATTAACATTCTATCAACAAAAACAGCACAAGAACCCTGTGAATTTTGGCTTTTGCATGGTTTCTTTTATGTGTAACAAAGAAACATTTCTGTTGTAGCCGCCAGTATTAGCTAAAGTATTCATTATAACAAGGTGAGTCATCATAACGGTTACAATGATGTAGTTTCAATGTATGTCACAACATTTTTCAAGTTTGAGCTAACACAAAGTGGTAAGTTCTGTGTGAATTACTTGATATACAAAATTCTGAAGGTACAGCAAAATAATCAGCTGCAAAATAAACAAAATTTGGCAATGTTAAGCATGTAAAAATACAAACCTTCCATGAACCTGTAAACAGAAGATTACCTGAAACTATAAACAGGAGAAAACTTGTGGTATAACATGAAAGGGAATTATCCTATGATGTCCCGCAACAACTGGAAGTCCTTCCTCCAGATTCTGGCTCTTGTCCAGGAACAACAATCTTGGTTCCCTTCAGAAGTGATGAACTCCCCTCAGATTCATGTTCATCATTCGCTATGAGAGCCTTCTTGCTGATGACTCGATAAATTTCGGTCAGCACTGATAGGAAAGCTGATTCAACATTAGTGGCCTCTAGGGCTGATGTCTCCATAAAAAAGAGGTTTTCTTTCTGAGCAAATTCTTTGGCATCCTCAGTGGGTACGACTTTAAGTGTTCCCAGGTCTGACTTGTTGCCTATAAGCATAATAACAATATTATTATCTGCATGATCCCGCAATTCCTCCAACCACTTGGCCACATGGTCAAATGATTGACGTTTAGTTATGTCATACACCAGCATTGCCCCCACTGCACCTCTGTAATATGCACTAGTCACAGCCCGATACCTGAATTGCCATCAAGATATACAAAACAAGATCCTATATTAGGGCTTCCGTAGTAAAAGAAGCAGAGTGACATAGAAACCTGCTCAACGGTTCAAAAAAAGATGCGCCTATGCATGTACATATAAAAATCACACAGATAAGTAGTAATAAATCACGACGTAACCTACCATATCTGTACTCTTCCAATATTTTTTTTGGTAAGCAATATAAATTATGTTTCTGCATTTAGTTTAGGTGGGTCAAAACTGTTTACAATAGTCACAATGCCATTAGTTATTGTATTACTTAAGAGAAAGGTGATTAATCATTATGGTCAAAATTTGGAGAGAGCTCTACTCTTTGGCATTTCTTCATTAAGTGGCTACTCTCAAGACCCTAAATGCAACCTTCTGGTAGCAGGCACTGACATTTTACCATTGCATCAAGTGTTGGACCATATAACTGAAAACATCCCATTTTCCTTTTCTTTTTCTTTTTATTTTTTTTCATGCTTTCAAACTGCCTTAAGATTCAAAAGCATCACCACAAAACTTCTATAAGCATATAGGAGCTATTTCAGTTAGCAGAATTCTGAAGGTTCAATTATTTGGCATTATATAGTACTCCAAAGTCTTCCCATTTATCCACAACTACACGCTCAGATTATTAAACCTGTCATCAGAAGAAATTCATTCTTCCTCAGCTGATAAATTTTCCAGGATCATACAGTTTCTTCACCAAAATCTGACAAAATGACCGTGCAACACCCGAAGGCCCAAGCAGCTTATCAAAGAAAAACATAAAAAGAAAGGGAAATGGAAAAAGAAAATCACCGAGGCCGTCCTTGTCCTCAGTCACAATTTATTTTCTAGAATTCTTATCTCATAACTCCTTTTCTACTGCCTCATTCCAAACTCCTTAAATCCAAAGATAACGTCGAAGAAACTTTTTAAGTCTGGCCCACCTCATTGCTCAATTCCCACCATCCCTTCTTCTAAATAACTACCTGCACTAAACAATCAGGTTAATCATTTCTGTGTAATCTGAGTATTCAAAACTCCTTGCATAATGGCAACTTGATTTTCTTTCCTCGTCGTGTATATTTTTCTCACACAAGTTACCATACTTTGTGTCAAATAACTACTAGACAACACAGATCAATTCAACTCAACTAAGCCTATGATTTAATTAGTCCCAAGTAAATTATTTGCAGAAGTTCAGCACAGAAGAAACAGCATAACATCCAAAACATATTAGTTAAAGTAATTGCATCTATAAAAATACCACACATTTCTTCTCACTAGCTCAATCACTCAATTATACGTATACCTCAATATCAGAGTCTAAATTTGAACTCGATTCCAACCCTTTCACCACCAAGAAATGAACAAAAAGATGGGAAAAAGTAAGTAGCAAAAATTATCCCAAACCTTAATAGACTAACAGCTGAGAGAACAAAAACATATGAAACTCGATAATCAATACCCAAAAACAAATCACAATTAAATTCGAAGAGAAAAAATAAATGGAAAAAAAATCTGATTATTCCACTTTATTTAATCACTAACTAATGATTAAAATCATTAAAACCCAAAAGAAAAAAAAAAAAAAAAAAAAGGAGAATTATTAGTAGTACCTTTCTTGACCGGCAGTGTCCCAAATCTGAGCTTTGACAGTTTTGTGATCAACAACAAGGGTTTTGGTTTGGAACTCAACACCGATCGTTGCTTTGGAATCCAAATTGAATTCATTTCTAGCAAATCGAGCCAATAGCTGCGATTTACCAACCGCTGAGTCCCCTATTAATACTATTTTAAACACGTAATCTATTTTTTGATTGTAAGTCGCTTGCAAACTCGACGACATTTGATCTGCCCGTTCTAAATTTCTACAATTTCACTTTCAAAAGATTATAAACAAAATTTGTAAGAGCGAAGCTGACAAGAAACTATTATGTTGTTCGGACCAGAGACTGTGGTTCTCGTTTAGATGTGATATTTGAAGACCAAACGAAAGTAGGGCTTGATTGAAAAACTATTTACTACAAGGAAAGAAAGTGCGCTGTTTTTTTTATCTGACGAAGGACATCGACAGACAGAGAGGAGAGTACCAACAACGTAGCCTGCTTAAAACGGTTTTGTTTATTAATTATTATTATTACTATTACTATTATTACTAATAGACTAAAAGAGGTAGTCTTTTTGAACAGTATCCATCACTGTTCATTCTTGCATCACTTTTTTTTTTTTTTTTTTTTTGCCGCGGATAGGCCTCTCTATTATGTTCGAGTTTTTAGTAATGTACATTCTGTAATCTGGACTCACCGTGTATTGAAGGACGGAGCCCATGTTTATTTGGCAAAATTATAATTTAGCCATTGAATTCAAATCCAAACTACTTTCATCCAAGTATCTTGAAATTTTAATTTAAAAACGATCTTGTAAATAATGTAAAGCAATATATGATTTCTCTCCTGCTAAGGTTTTTTTTCCAACTTGAAACAACATGGTTTTATATATATATATATATATTATCAATTTCTCTAATATTTTACATTTTAATCCTTTGATTTATAGTTTTGTCCAACCTGATCTGTCAATTAAATATTTATTGCATGTAGATCCCTGTGTTTTTTATGGATGGATTGGGCTGGGCCTAGTTGTCTCCAAGTCCATATGAATGGGCCTGGTGTTAGCCCAGTCAAGCCTCTTCTTTTTTTCTTTTTTTAATACTTTTTTTCATTTATTATAACTCAAAAAATTTATGCTTTTATTTTTTTATTATTTACTCAAAATATTTTTTTTCATTATTTACTCATTAACTAAAATTAAACACTATTATAATATAAATTAATTTTTTTAAAATAAATAATTAATTACAAGTTTTGTTTTTATTTTTGTATTGATCAAAATAAAAAAATATTTCTACGATATATTTAAAATAAATTATGAAATATATATTTTATTAATTATTATAATATATATTAAATTAAATCAATTCTCCCAATTAGTGTTAATTATTTTTTATTTTATGTCTAGATTTTTTAATTATTTAAAATATTTTAAAAAATATTAATGGTTGTTTTTTTTAATAGACTCGTTAGCTAAAATAAATACTCTTCTAATATAAATTGATTTAGCATATTCTTCTAATTTGATTTAAAAATAAATAATTAATAATTGTATGTTTCTTTTTTCTTTTTCGTTATTGAAAAGAAATCAAAAATATTCCCACAACTAGTGTTAATACATATTAAATTAAATAAATTCTCACAACTAGTGTTAATTAATTTTTATTTTAATCCTATATTTTTTAATTATTAAAAATAAAAATAAAAGTTATCTAGACTTATCCGCGATAACATGCAAATATTTTGCTTATTATCCTATATACTAAAGCAAAATGGGTTTTCATCTGTAGCAATGAACAGTGTAAATCACCGTTCATTGCTACAATGTTTTTTTTTTAATTTCCATTAATTTTTTTGGCTAGACCCTCCCCCCTCCCCCAAAACAATCCGTTTACTGTTCATTGAACAGTAAACGCCTGCCCTCTTTTTTTTTTTTAAACATTTAATTTTTTAAAAAATTTCCACCCATTTACTGTTCACATGAACAGTAAACGGCTTGCACCCTTTTTTTTTTTTCTAAACATTGAATTTTTTTAAAATTTCTATTTCTTAATAGTATTTGGTGTTAAAATTTTAAAAGAACCAACAATTAATTGGGTGTTAAAATTTTAAAGAAACCAACAATTTATTTTTTTATTATTTATTTTTAAAATTTTTTTAAAAATAAGAAATAGTTAAATATAAATTTTTTTATTAAAAAATTATAATTATTTTTTACCATAAAACAGATTATTAAATTGAAATAATTTTTCTAAACGATTTTATATATTTTATCCAACCCGCAGACATAGAGCATGTAAAAAATCTAATACTATATACTAAAGAAAAACCATTTTTCACTATAGCAATGAACAATGTTAATCACTGTTCATTGCTATATTACTTTGGCTTTTTTTGTTTTTTAAGTTTTCATTTTTTTTTTTGCCAGCACTCGCTGGCCTTTCCCCCTCCTTTTTTTTACTCGTTTATTGTTCATTTGGATGGTGAACGGCTTGCCCTCTTTTTTTTTTTTTTCTCTAAACACTATTGTTTTTTAAATTTCCGTCCGTTTACTATTCACATGAACAAGTAAACGGCTGCCTCCTTTTTTTTTCCTAAACATTGATTTTTTTTTAATTTTAATTTCTTAATAATATTAGGTGTTAAAATTTTAAAAGAACCAACAATTAATTGGGTGTTAAAATTTTAAAGAAATTAATAATTTATTTGCTTTATTATTTATTTCTAAAATTGAAAAACACAAATAAGAAATAGTTAAATATAAATTTTTTTCATTTAAAAATTATAATTATTTTTTATCATAAAACAAATTATTAAACTGAAATAATTTTTCTATATGATTTTATATATTTTATCCAATCTGTAGCGTAGCGCGGGTAAAAAATCTAGTAAATATACTAAAATAAAATGAAGTTGTACTGTAGCTAAGCCCCTTTTTTGGCTGTTAGTAGATTTTTTATTTTTTTATCCCTATTTTGTGATCTTACTTCTATTTTGGTCGTTAGAGTTTTGGTCATGCAAATTTTGACCCTCCATGCTGTAAATTTTTCTTTACCTTTTCATTTTTGTTGTCATGTTATATTTTTATTATTTTTATTGTTGTATTTTAATTTTCCTTAAAAAAATTATGAATTATTAAAAGTGGGCTATTTAATTTGATTTTAATACATTATTAGAGTAAATTAGCACATCTATTGTTTGAATAAAATAATCTCTTTTTTTTTAAAAAAAGAAATTAGTTATATTTAGGAGTGTAAGTAAGAAAAATATATATATATAAGTTTTGATGTCAAATATGAATATAGAAGAATAACAAAATCAAAAACATAAAAAAGGACTAAATTGTCCTTTTTATTTTTATATAAATATAATGTAATCTCCATTTTTTTACTATTCCTAAACCTTTTTTTGGCTTTTATCTTCTTCTTTTTTTTTTGTCTCTATTGTGTGATTCTGACTTTGTTTTTATTATTAAAGTCTTGTTATATGTGATTTTTTATCCTACCTTATGTATAATGGATTTTTTGGTTTTGTTGTTCCTACATTTTTTTTTTGGCTTTTAGCTTTTTTTTTTTCTATTTTTGTCTCGTTTTCCGTGATTATTATTTTGTTTGTAGTCATTAAAGTTTTATCATTTTATATGTATATAAAAATGTCTACTATTTTGTGGTGCATCAAGCAAAAGTAGAGTTTTGTAGATCTATTTGTTTATCTCTAACATGATATTTCCTTTTTTTTTTTTTTTTTTTTACATATCCAGCAATATCTAACAAATTTGATCATAACAAGACAAACAAATTATAGATTAAAAAAAACGTGAAAGCTACTACCATAAAAGATTCAATAAGCTAGCGCATCAATATTTTAATTGTGAATTGTTATACATATCTTTGACAAGTTACTTGATAGTATCAAGCAGACATTTAATTAATAATATTATATTACTCAACTTCACATGTTTTTTTTTTTCACATTATCCTTTTAAATAACTCGTTTTTGCACAAAATGTCTTTTATTGTCGTTATCGTTTAGTATTTTTTTTCTTATTATTATTGTTTGATAAAAAGTCCATCTAAGACCTTTTATTTTTCATTCCTATAAAATAGATTTATTTAACGAGTTTTAAAATAATTTATTTTTATATTGTTTGAAACTCGTCTTTATGACTTTCATTATATAGATTGTTGGAACTTTCTATTTTATATGGTTGAACACATGAGAAAGTCGTGCGGCTCATCTCACGACAACACGCAAGATACATGCTAATTGCCGGTAAAAGTACATAAAGTTGTTGGATTAATGGTAAGAAATATCTCTTTATTCTTCTGATTTTCTTAATATGGTCTTTGTATTTTTTTATATCTATCACTTTTATTTACTCTTTAATTTTTTATACAGCTCTTTTAATTTTTTTTGACCAATTTTTCAATTAAAAGTGATACATAGCAATATATATATAACATGTCAAGACATGTTAGATATATTTTTCACGTGAAAAAACAAATACCATGTGGCATGATTAGATTAATTGAGACTACATCAAACATAATTGAAACCATAAGTACTAAATTCTTTGTTTTGTTTTGTGGGTTATTTTGTCTGCTTTATCTTTTTAATCTTTATTTATATGCTTGATTGCTAGAAGGACAAAAAGATCTTCTTCTTCTTTTTTTTTTTTAATTCTAACACAGTTAATTAATTAATAGAAAAAAAATCATTAAGAAAGGATAATTCTTACCATGTACAAATGCGACAAGCCAAACAGTTCCCAAACAATCACCAAAATTAATTTAGTTGTTATCCTTTCTTTTTAAAATGGCAAAACAAGTTAAAAGTGAATTTTTTTCATATTTGTACCATGTACTCTATGTTTTTTTTTTTAATTAAAACTCTCTGTTTTTTTTTGTTTGGCCTTCATTGAAACCTTCTATTATTCTAAATTTCTTGCTTCAAATATATTTTTATAATATTACTAATTAATAAATGACACTTCTTAAAGATTTTTTTTAATAATGTTATATGTTAATCACTAATTAATGACATTATAATTGAGAATTTAAAACAAAAAATTTTGAAAAATAGAGAATTTCATTCAACTAAAAAAAGGTAAAGAACCTCAATAAAAAAATTCGAAAAATGCAATGTCTAAATGTTGTGAAAACCGTTAAAGGTTGTACTAAAGTTTTTCGTGGCATTCTAAATAAGCAAAGTGTTCGTGAGTGTTAAAACAAATGTCGATAGCATTATCCCTTTCTTTCAAAACGACAAAACAAGTTTAAGGCTGTACTTTAAGTTTTATCGTGACATTCTAAATAAGCGAGAGTTCAAGGGTTTTAAAGCAAGCGTTCAAGGGTGTTAAAAGCGAGTGTCGCTAGCATTACTCTAATTTTTAATGTTACAAGTAGCACAACATGCTGCCCAGAAGACATTCCTCTAGGCTCCTGCGATGGCATGCCTCCCGGTTTCACGAGCACATCCATGTTTCAAGTAAACCATTCACGCGCAAAAAAAGGCAATTCAATGCCTTGGGATTCTGTCCTAGGACTCCTTTATTAACCCCCACAAAATCCTAAGGCTAAATAAATCAAAAGCTCTCGAAATTGAGTTTCTGAGCTTCAAATTTAATTTTTAGAATCTCTCAATTTTTTATTTTTTAAAATTTAATCCATTCGATGATTTTCAATTATAATCATTCCTTCTAAAAATTCAATTCTTGATATTTGAATTCAATTTTGATATTTGAATTGAAATTTTACACAAACGTTAAGAAAAATCTAATCTATTTTCTAAAAAAATCCTAAAAATTTTGAAAATAAAAAATATCTTATTTATTTTTTAAACATTACAAATATAAAAAATTGAAAAAAATAGAAAATAATCTTGATTAATCTCAAATGAAGCCTATATAAATCTCACTAAATGATTTTAGTAATTGAGAGTTGTTTATGTGATGCTTATTGTTTGAAATAAATAACAAAAAAATAAAAAATGGACTCAATCTTAAAAAAATTAAAAGATTAGAGATTGCAAAAACCAAATTTAAAATTCAAAAATTTAGTTTCAAATAAGACTCATTTAGCTTAATCCTAATCCAAACTTTCAATGTTATGACTTGATCTCACGTCCTGCAAAAATAAAATAAAACAAAATGCTCGAAAACAGGACTCTCCAAATCCAAATTTCTTGTCGGGCCTCTATAGACTCTAGAGGGACCATGATTGAATAACAATCTAACATGCCAGTATATTGCAGTGCATACTGGCATCACTTGGTGAAAAAGATGCACCAAATGCATATAATGTATTGGACTTACTTCCTGTGCAAGGATGAAGTACGTCGTCCACATGAACAGTTCACAGAATGGAGATGAATTTGACCCAAAGATGAACAAGCAAGTCCTTGTGAAGTGCGACAAGCCAAACAGTTCCCAAACAATCACCAACATGAAGTCAAGGCGAATTTTAGAAGCAATCAGAAGGGAAAAGACAAAAGCATAGAACAATAGCCAAATCTTAACATGGTTGAGATGTTAGGGTAGAAGAGGTAAACCCTTTGCTCAGACATAAAGCAGAGGTCACATGAAAGCTCAAATGCAGACCATTTGGAATTACTACATTTGAGACTAATTTCTACAAGGTAAATACACCAGTTTTTGCCATTTTTACAGAAGCGACGAAAAGAAGAGATGCAATTAGTTCAAGTCTGAAGACAGCATGAAGTCCATCACTCATGCTCCACTCTCACTACCACGAATGCACCAAGTAACCAAGACTAAAAGCCAAGAATGATTTGCCTGAAAAACACAGCACTGGGAAAGTTCCCCCCAAGTTGGCATAGCTAATGCCTCCAGCTTTGCCTGCAGAAGAGGAACCTCCCATGAGATACACAGACAGGCCAGGAGAAAAAGGAACTTATACCGCATCCATCAGAGTCAATAGACAAACCACTAGAGCAATGCTGAAGGCGCCCATACAACTCAAGATGGAAATTTAATGAATGGGGACAGCCCCATTAGACACCCCATTCCCATGTGTGATTTCCTTCTGCTGACCCAAGAAGCTGCCATCATCTGATGATGAATGATATCTTGAAGAGAGTCCATGGCCATTACCATGACCCTTGGAGGAAGCGTGTGTTTGCATGCCTTCAACCATAGACCCTTTTCCTTCTTGTCGATTACCAGAGGAATCCAAATCTCCAGTACCTTCTGTTGGCAAACATTCAGAAATTGAAAAGCGAGAAGATTGTTTTGAAATATTAGCACCAGAATTAATACCTTTATCTGATGTAGAATTGGCAGCATCATTATCAAGCTTCTTTGTATTAAGGAAGCGGCCTCCACAGCCCCTTGCCCTTCTCATAGCATGCTGGTGTCGAGACTCGTGAAGATATGGCTGTCATAAACAACAAGAAACTCATATCTCATAACAGGGAATTTCAAAATTCGGAATGCATGAACTCAATCGTGAATACGGTATCTCAAATCACAACAAAATTTCACAGCATAATAATAAGCAGTGAAGAATCAAAAACATTTGTAAGTGCTCAAAATCTTCATTAACATCTCCGACACCTGATATAGTTTCATCCCACTTTGTGTGAATATATCTATTCAAAATTCTCATTAACACAAAGGTGGCAACTATAAGTTACTTTTTACATCCATTATAGCAAATGAGATGTCATTTCTCTTTCTTGACTTGTAACATTCATCAAATATAAATCTATTTAGTAAAGCCAGGAAAAGCCAAAACAATGACCCAATGTGCAAGAGAAAATGTGCCTTTTCTTTCAAAAGGAAGTAAAAATATCCATAGAAAGAATTCACATATCAAATATGTCCAAGCATGTCTACTCATGGGAACTTCTTTAAAATCATCATCAATGAGGAAACTAGCCCGCAAATGAGAGAATTTTATCAAAAGGATAAAGAAAATTGAACTTCTATTGACTCCACTTATGGAAGAACCACCTAAAGCTCCTAACCTCGCGGAAAGAAACTTGCATTCAGGTAACCTAGCAACATGACACAGAAAATTATCAATTTTTAAAAGAGAATGCATGTTTTAACTCTATAAATTTGCTCAAACCGATGAAACAAGCCATGTCAGAATTCAGATTAACAATTTAAAGCTGTTTCTATATATCTAGACCTAAATTTTTTACCACTGAAAATACTAAATCATTCCAGTGGATGAAAAAATTGAAACATTGATTCTACCTTCCTAACTTTTACTGCTTTCTTTTCAAGTTCTGCCTTAGCACGTGCTTGTCTTCGCCTCATAATACCATGAAACTGTTTTGCATTTACGTAAACAGGCTCCTCTTCCATTTCAAGGGGCAAAGGCATTCTGGCATGAGGGATTCCATATAATTGAGGTACCTAGTATCAGAGAAAGAAATTTCTTAACTATAAATGTACGAAAACAATAATTAGGTAGAAGAACATTAATTTAATCTTTTCTCTTATCATTATCAGGACCAAATATAACAGCATTCAAGCTGGCTCTCAGACCAGACATGCAATGGAATACCCATTCAAACCCATTGAAAGATGGTTGAACCAACAGTATTGAGAAGAAACCAGTACAAGACCATAAGGTGAACTTGTTTAAGATGGATTTGATCATAATGAATCGCGACTGACAGCATATGAAGTTTTGATTGGCCTGAGTTAGTTTTATATCATAAATTTTATCCTCCTTTAACAATTCAACAATATAAACAAATAAGCCAACACACACAGAAGGAGAAAAAAAAAAAAATTCATCAACCTACCATAAGAAATCATCTGAAGATGAAGATGATCAGTGTAAAATTTTCTTTTTGTTTTTTCATAATATGCTTTTCAATTAGTCTACCAGAAATAAACTTAATGCATAAGTGGTGGTTCAACAATGAACCATATGCTCAACAGAGGAATTAGTGAGCCGATGACTTGACCATGGCTAGGTAAATGTATGTAATTATTTTGATAATCATGAATAACAGAGTAATTGAAATCTGTTGGTCTTGGCTGTCTATTTACTCTATTGACTTCGCTCACGATGCCAGATCACCACTTGAATGGAAGCTGGCATTGTGAACAAGTAGGTGCAAATATAAATTCAATAATGGGAGGGATTTTCTAAAATAAGAAGTAAAAATAGATACGGAACCATGTAGTATGCCAAATGTATTTTAGAAGCAAATATAGTATCTAAAATAAGATTCAAATGCGAAGCACACCAAATGTGTTACAACTGTCTTTCTGATCTTAAATTTTTAGCATAGATATGGGACCATGAAGTTACGTACCATAGCTTGTGGTCCATAAGAAGTAAACATCCCGCCATACTGTGAATCTGTGTATGGATGTGAAGTCAAAACCTGAAAAAGTTAGAGAATTCTGAATTCTGAGTACACAGAAGTTGGAACCATGTAAGGCAAAGTCCAAGAGACATTTAGCTGTCAATGGCAGACAACTGTGTGTGCTCACAAATGTGCACATTGGACATGCACTAGAAAAACTGCTGCTCAGTGAGAGAGAGAGAGAGAGCAATAGAAATCTTACAATTGAATGGCCAACAAGTTCCATCTGGGAATTCGGTTCAAGGTGTCCAGCCATCGTAACAGTTGTTGGTGATGGAACATGTTTGAGATGGTGCTCTTGTCCATTACTTTCATCTGGTCAAGAAAAGAAACACCAGTCATGCTATGGGTGGTGTACTCACCTAACAAACTGTGGCACTTGCAACAATATCATACGACTGAAAGAAAAGGGTACATCTGAATTTCTTAAAACAAGGGGCAAACATACCATATTACATTTCTTTCTGTTGAAGATTAAAAGTCATTAAGGCACCAGTAATCAACACAAAGTAAGCATTCATGCACATTTTTATCAAAGTAAAAATAAACCCATAGCTTATGCATTTATTTCAAAATATTATTCTCAGGTGGAGGGAGTCTAGCAGACTGCCACTGGATGAGAACAAAGTATAAGTGAGGTCAAAGAGAAGACATAAAAGGAAGACATTGTTCCAATTCAACCAGCAATGTGTTTGGACTTTGGACAGGAATTCAGAAAGAAACAAAGTAGTATTTAAAGAAACTTTATAACATAATATTTATATTACAACAAGAAATGACAAAAAAGGCCTTTCAATTTGTTCTTTTCCTCGAGTTTCTATCCACAATTGAAAGTTTTGAAGACTTTATAAACTTCAAGATATTGCTTGGTGCACAAACTGAGAGTATCAACCTAATGTTACCCCATGCTTAATAAAAAATAAAAATAAATAAATAATGTTTCCCCTGTCTCACCAACAAAAAGCAAAAGGCGTGATATTTAAGTGACCTTGGTAATCCTAAACTCAAAAAAATTGCAAGGATTAATTGTTTTATATATATATATATATATATATATATATACAGGAACAATCTGCCTCCTAAATGAAAGACTTACATTTCCTGCACTCCTGAAAGCAAGGAGCAAGGTTAGATCTAGACAATATGGTCCATTACACTCCATTCAAAATGAAAACTAGACGGATTCATTATTATAGAAAATTGAGCCACCATAACTGTATGACCCTTATGTTATAGTCAAACTTAAGAATTGATCCAGGATAAACAAAAACAATTAAGACATGTACCCGTTCAATTGTAAGTACATGTCCCAAGTGTCAAGCTTGATTATTCTCAGAAGCTCTCCATCATTTTGGAGTGTCCAATATCCATATTACCCATGTAAATGAATATGATACCAAGGGTGAAGTAAAAGGATAAGTATCTTTGCAATGCCGACAAACTTTGTCCACATTGGAATATCACTAATCCTTTCCTTTCTTTTCCCTTATACAAGATGGAATCTTGTTATTTCTAGCTAATTTCTCTAATTTCTAGAATAAAGATTTCACATAAAAAAAGAGTGAAGAGTGGGTAAAATATGCATACTGGAACAAGTTTGCAAAGGTTACCACAAACCATGGAACAATTAGTTTAAATCCAACGACCCATGTTAAAGACAGAGAAACATTCTGCTGATCACTCTCATTAAGAAAGAAAAGCACATTTGGAATACATAAGTGCCACTCTTATCCAACAATTAGCATAAGATAACTGTTAGGGTAATAATAATGTCTTCCAGCAAACATACTGTCAAAAGAAAGACGTGGTTTCAAGGATTACTACCAGATTGTGATGTTACATCGGTGTGCACGTCTTTGTTCAGCATAGCTCCTTTCTGCAAGCCAGTATTAACTTGTGATTGAATCGCTGCATTCGCGAGAGAACCATTCAGGTTCTCTACTGAAGATAATTTTGACGCAGTTTCACCTAAAGAAGAATTGTTCCCCACTTCACGCCACCAAGGTTGGGAGTAAGCGTTCGACTGGAACGGGCTCGGTCCACTGTGGTCTAAACGTCTATCTTCCTTTTCAGATTTTGCCGGCATCATTCAGAACGTCCTCCTAGAAAAAAAAATGCAAAAATTCTAATGGCTCAACAATTTAGTCAAAATAAAACATGATATATGTATGACACGCTTGTATGCGTAATTCAATACAAAATTCAATCTCCATTGAATTACTCATCACCACACCCACCGCCAAAAAGAAGACAGACATAGAGGAGAGAGGGAGAGGGAGATTTCCAGAAAATTAAAAAGCTTCATTTCAAGCTTCACAAAAAACTAAGTTTATTCAAACTCCAAAACTAGTCTTCAACGGAGCTAAACACGCCAAATTTTAGCTCAATTCAGCTAAGATTTTCGTCAGGAAATCCTAAATCCACTCCATCATTTTAAATTTCACAGCACAAAGTAATCAAACCAAGCAAAAATCTACTTCTAACTATCCTTTCTATTTAAAGAACCAAAACTCAAGTTTCCAATTTTCTCTTCTTTCCCACAAATTTTCTAGCAGCCCAGATACAGAAATTCCCCCAAGAACATAACTTTATCGTCAAAAAACTCAAATTAAAGACTCAATTAAAAACCCACAACTAAGGGTAGATCCAAGCATAGAGAAAGGGGAAGAATTGAGGAGGTAGAAAGAATTGCTTACAGTGAAATTGGAAACCCTAAAAAAGCTTGAATTTTTGGAGAATCTATGGGAAAGTCATTGATTTTGGTCCATCTTTATTTAATTTTTCTCAGTGTAAGGTAAACCTCAACAGAGAGAACAGTGGCATTTTGATGGAGAAATAATTATATATATATACACATATATTAGAGTTTTGGATATTTCAGAAATGATAAAAATTAATTTTTTGTTTCAATTTACAGTTCACGCAAAGGTCGTTTTCTTTGTCTGTTCTTTGGAAGAAAATGATAAATTTAAGGACACGAGGTATCTCAACTTTTCGGAGTGACAAAATCACCCTTGGGTCAAGTCAGGTCTCTTCTCTTTGTTTCTTTCCTTTTCTTTTGTTCGCATGTTGTTATCTCTGATCAGAAATGAGAGAAAACTATGTTTTACCGAAGACAGGTGTGTCACAGATTTAAAAAACAAAACAGGAATCGAGAGAAGCATGAGAAATTGTAGTTGTTCTGCCATTTTTCATAAGTCATAATTGCAAGGTGCTACAATGTCATAGTATTATAATCTTATTTGGATTAATGGTTGCAGTATTTTTTTTTTCATTTTTATGGTGTTCTTTTATTTTATTTTTTCATTTTAAATTTATTTTTGTTTTAATCTTGTTTTTTCACTAATTTTTAGGTTACGATGTTAAATCTATTAACATCTCAAAACTACGATAAATATCAATTTTTTTTTTTAATCTTAATCTCATTCTTGTCGTTTCACTTTTGTTTACTAAATAAATAGATTTAAAAAAAAAAGGAAAATAAAGCAAAAAAAAATTATCCAAAATATCTGTCATGGAGTTAAATTTATCTTTGTGAGAGTAAAAAAAAATTAAATTTAAAATGAAATAATTATAATATTTTTTAACATATTAAGAGAGTTTTATTTAAGTTTTAAACTTTTGAATGGTACTTATATTTTTATAATACCTCAAAATAGTCTATTTTGATTATTTTTTTAGATAAATACAGCCATTTTCTCTAAAAATTAGAAAGAAAAAAACTCAAAAAAAGTGAAAATAAAAAAAAATCTAAAATATCATTTATGGGTTTAAATTTATCTCTATGACACTAAGCAATTTTTTTAGTATAAAATAAAATATTTGTAGTATTGTTTTAAATGTCAAGAGAATTTTAGTTAAATTTTAAACTTTTAAATGGTATTTGTAATTTTATAATACCTGAAAATAGTCTATTGTAATTAACTTATTTTCATTTTATAAATTACTTAATTTGAAACAAAAATGAAAATATAAATTTTGCTAAGATTTCTTGAAAATATCCACTCAAAAGTGCTTAAAAGACAAGATGTATCATCATTTTTTTTCAAAATTTATTTTATTTAAATTTGATTAAAAAAAAAGGCTAAATGATGAGACTAAGACAAGAAAAAGTTGACACATGTTGTAATTATGCGGTGCTAACAATACAATTTAACACTTCTAATCCAAAAAGTTAATAAAAAAGTCACGACTAAGATATAAACTAAATAGAAAGAGATGAACTTAAAATAAAAAAACGATAAAAGATAACAATAAAGAAGAAAGAAATAAAAAGATCTACATAGATGGTAATTATCATTACTCTTCTTTAGGTATAATAAAAAAAAAATTAAGGACTCAATTTAGAGTTGAATAAAATCCTTGCACTCTAAATTTTTATACTTTATAATTCTTTTAATTTAATTAGTGGTACTTAGAGAAATTTATTATATTTTTTAAAATGTATGAGACAAATATGAAAAATATATCTTTAAAATTATTAAATAAAAAATTTAATCCTAATTGACCGTAGATCCAAAAATACAATTTATCATCAAATAAAAAACAATAATAATAATTCTTTTAACTGAAATAGCTATATCCATTTTTTACCTCCTTCTAACAATAGTGAAATGGTCGTGTAATCTTTGCTTTTGACCAACTTCCCTGTCAGTCTAAAATGGATTGTGTTGGAATTTTAATTTATCTCGAGAGAATCTACTGTGTCGGGGAACTGCAAGAATATTTTTTTCCCCAAATATATATATATATATATATATATCACTACAATTTCCCATGATCCATAGGAAACCTTTGAAATGAAAGCTTCTAGCATAGAATGCCAACTGGATCAATCTTTCCCAAAAGAGTACCTCAGGTCTGAAAGTACATCAGCTTCGTTTCCTATGGCTCAGAAAAGGAAAGGAAAAGAATTACAGTAGCTGAAATCTAATCAAAGTACCAGACCAGGTATTTACCCAATCCCAAAAACATATATTTACATATAGAGCACACCAGACATAGGAAAGTACGTGTAATTTTTATGTTTTTATGTTTTTTTTTTGTTCAGTTAAGGTAAAAAAACAAGTACTAGAAGCAGTTTTACGTCCATGTTCAGTAGTTAGGAGAATAAGACCAAGTTGTCCCAAAGGGAAGGGACATCATGATAACTTGTTTTTCTTTCCTGAAGTTGTGGAGTTTCCTTTACCTTTTAGAAATGCTTGCCTACTAAGTTTAATTTTTAACAACCATCAGTTTTAGTTAATAAGTTATTATTATTCCAATAGCTAGCAAGTGAGTGGGTCTCCACACTTTTCTGTACATATTCTCTTGCTTGCAACCAATATTGTACTAATTAAGCTCCTTTATTTCTAGGATTTTTCTTTACGTCACTGTCTATGTTTTATGATGCTATGGTTTTTACAAGCTTTCAAATGAACTAACCACATTCTCTAGCTATAATTGCTAGTAAAAAGAGACGAGCTCCTTATTTTATTTGGTTGCTCTTTTTTTAATTTCTCAATAAACTATAATTTAATTGATATTAACATTTGAGGTTGTGATTAGTCATGGAGATTTTATAGGTTTGTAGCCGAAATCTAAGCCTCTAATTACATGAACAGGTCGATGATTTTGCGAAGAGGAACTCAATTAAAATAACGGGGGGCTAAATTAGCAAAAAAGCAGGGAGCCGGGGCAATTTTGGCATGATGTGTCCAACATGTTGCAAAAATTCTTCCTTTGTTTAAGGATTTAAGAAAAAAAATAAGAGGAAAAACAGAAAGGGCATGATGGACTTTGGGACGTTAAAATATTTTTCTTTTCGTTTTTTTTTATTGCAAAAACCGACGTTTGCGGTGAAGCCACTACGTGTCAGAATCATATGACCTAAGCAGGGGCCTACCCACTAATGCCTTGCCACGTTGTTCACGCACCGTAGCACTTGTCAAATCATAAACAGTGACATTTGCAATCTTAACGGCGTTTGATGACGGCATTCTTGTCCTGATCCTAGGTAGCAGCCACCTAAGAAGTCCAACTAATACAAGATGTTAACTAATAGTAAGTATGAATTGGTCGGCTGGTTCTCTTTTTATCGCTTGCCCAATTTCATTGCTTGCGTCTCTCTTAATCCCTTTGTGTTTGGTTTGATAAAACCAAACACGCAGAATCGCGAAGTAAATTATAAATTTTTTTTTTAGTTTTGAGAAATAAATAAATTAGTTTATTTTGTTTAGATAATTAATTATTTTATTTAATTTATACTTTTTAAATTATATATGGAAAAGGTTGAAGAAAAAATATTTTTTAGAATAAAAAAATTAAATTAAGTAGAGTTGACACTAAATTAATAATTAAACAATTATTTTTAAAAAATAACTCATTAGTTTGTTTTTTTTAAAAAATAATTAATTTATATTTTAATCGCAAATCTTGAGATGAGGGAAAGATACGAAAATGAGCACTAGTGGACTTCAATATACCTATGCTAGTATGGACTACGGGAAGGACGAAAGTGACTTGTCCTTATATAAGTGTATATGCGTTGACATTTCGAAGCAAGTATTAATCCAAGGTTAAGCAGGGTGGTTAAAACAGTTTCCACTGACAATAATTTTAATCTTTACTAATGCACAATATCTCCACCGTCGTACTAGTTTACACATTTAGTAGATAGAGTGGAAATTAACAAATTGAATTTCCAATAATTTTTGGTTTAACAGTGAGTATGTTTGGCAGAGAAAAATTTGAGATAACATCTACTCTTTTCATTGATACAAATTCTCTTTATACATTTTAGCCAGCAGATATACTAAATCGATTTTGCAAACAACCTTTATAGTTAACAAACTAATTGACTAATTAACAAGCTAATTAACTAAAAAACTAGTTAACTAATATAATTAGTAGATTTGTGGCTTGTATGAAAGGCAAGTAAGCAAATCCTTCTAATACTCTCTCAAAAGGAGCATGCATATCAATAATGCTCATCTTGCCCATTAGAGATTTAATACTATATAGATTTTAGGGGCTTGGTGAATATTATATCTGCAAGTTGGAGTGTGGTTGGTACATACTTTAGTTTCGTAATTTTAATAAGAACTTTCTTTATAATAAAATGACAGTCCATTTCAACGTATTATGTCATCTTATGAAATATTATATGGATAACTGATCGGTTATCACATTTAAACAAAACTACATCGTTGTGTTCAAATACCAAATCTACAAGTTAAGTAATTAATCGAATAACTTCACAACAAATAAAAGCCATAGCCATGTATTTTCTCTCATAAGAACTTCTAGTAACCAAATATTGTTTCTTGTATTTCCAACTAACAAGAGAATTTTCAAGAAAAACATAATAACATGTGACATATCTTCTTAAATCTTTGCAACATGCCTAGTCATTATTTGTATAAGCTCGCAATTGAATATCGGATTGAGAAGAAAGTAATAAACATTGTCAAGATGTCGACTATAGATACTTTCGGACTCTAAAATTTGTTTGTAGATGAATATCTACTAGTTTATCCATGTATTGAGAAAGAACTTGAGTATCGTATGAGATGTCAAGTTTTGATAAAAGTTAGATATAAAAGTTTTTTCTCAAGTCTGTCTATAAACAATTAGATCTTAAGAAAACTAAAGTATGCTTACACAAACTTGCTATCGAGATCCATTAGAATAGAGGTTGGTTTAACACTCGGCATCTCATGTTCCGCTAACAAATCAAGCATACGTTTTTTTTTCTTTTTACATAAAGAAATTCCTTTAGATGAACCAGACAACCTCAATACCAAGAAAAATCTCACTTTTCTAGATCTTTAATCTTGAATTGAGAATGCATATATCTCTTGAATTATTTAACGGTTTTAACAAAGTTACTTGCAATGATCATGTCATCAACATACATAAGCAAAGTAAAAAATATGTTAGAAGACACTATTTTAGTAAACAAAGAATAATCTATTTTAGATTGTAAAAACCCAAAAGATAATAAGGCAATAGTGAACTCGAGTTCCACTCGTTTGGATGCCTACTTTAAACCATACCCTTTGACCACTATTCTAACCTTATATCCGCCAAAAGAGCCATTAGCAAAAAGCTTGATTTTATGTACCCATTTACAACCCATATTATTCTAACCAAAAGGAAGAGAAGCAACGACTTAAATGTTATTTTGCTCAAAAGCTTTAAATTTAGTTTTTATGACATCTAACCGATAAATAGATTGTACGACTTGGTGATATGTGTGAGGTTCAACAAGGTGTAAAAAGGAAGTAAGAAAAGATTTATATGATGACAATAAACATACAATGGAAATATAATGTTGAATAAAATGTGCACTAGAATAAGAAGTAGATGAAGTGTTTGAAGGTAAATTGATTTGATAGTAAAACAAATAGCTAGAAGGTTTGTTGATCCTTTTACTTTTCCTAATAGAAACAAAAGGATTATATGAAAAATGAATAACATATAAAAAAGATAGTGTCTATTGACAATGAATTATGTCCGATAAAGACAAAATTATTTTGAGAAGGGAGAATATCTAAAACATATATAGTTTAGGAACATGTATAGTTTGAAGAACAATAATTGGTCTTTTAACAATAGATAGTGCATTGTTAGATTCTAGTGATGAATTATCAAAAACATTAAGAGAAACATATAATATATCACAAAGATATGATGTTGAGGATTCTAAGTAAAGAATTAGAATGAATCTAAGAGGAAAAAAAAGGCATTTACATGTGTAATAACCCACCAAAAAATGAGATTAAGTTATTAAATTGTATATTTTTGTAATTAAAAAATAGTCATAAGTTGATGAGAGGTAAATTGCATTTTTTGTATAAATTAAAGATCCGAATTTTGTTATAAAATAAAAATTGGTACCCAACCTCGTAAAATAGAATAGAAAAGAAAAGGAATAAGAATAATAATTTTTTTTAAAAAAAATCGAGGCACCTTTAAAAAAAAAAAGGAAAAAAAATAGGACAACCTCTATTTTTTTATTTTTCTCATTCTCTTCTCTTTCCTTTCTCACCTAAAAATTCTTTCTACTTCCTCCAATTCCCTCCTCTAATTTTTATACTAAAACCTTACATAAATACTCTATGAAACAAGATGATTAAAGTAAAACTTAGGTAGATTAAAGTTTGGGAGGTTTAGAGGAATTGAAAAGTTGAAATTGGAGTTTGAAGACTCATTTTGTCAAAGGTGAGATTTTTGTCATTTAGTCTCAAAATTAAGATGTTTATATGAGTTTATTAATTATCTTAGAGTTGTTTTATATTAATTTTTTTTTGAAATAAAAAATTGTGTTAGGTTAGGGTTAGAGTTTGAATTAAATTTAAGAGTTTGATGATTTATTAATTATTTATGCTAATTGATGCTTGAAGTGAGATAATAATGGTGTGAAATTAATTATTAGATCTGTCGACTTAAGAAATTCCTAAATTGGTTGAGATGATGGATTGTAGATGTAAGTTATGGTAAAGAATTAAATTCAAAATTGATGATGGATTATAGAGATAACTTGTGCAAAAATTAAATAAAAAATTAATGATGGCTAATTTGTTCTAATAAAGTATAAAATTAATTACTAGAGAAAAATTATAGAACAACCTTGAGATATAGTTACTTGGATAATTATTTAAAATTAATTGAGAAAGTAAGAGTCTAATTAAAAACCTCAATTTGAGTCTTTTCGATAAATTTTGCTTTTGTAATTATCTTGTATTTCAATTTTTAAAATAATTCAACTAGCTTCGAATTGTCTTTTGATATGTGTTATTAATGATTATTCGGCTATTTTGCATCATTAGATCTTCGTAATGGACCATTCCATCTTATCAATTTTGACTTTGCACGATCATTCGATTGTATTGTGAATGGATAACTATCTAGTATATCATCTTTTTAAGTTTTTTTGATA